GGGAGGGCGCGGTGTAGTGCGTGGGTAGGGCGGGGTGTAAAGCTGCGCAAAACTACTGCTGTTGCGCTGTTGCGCTGTTGTGTTGTTGCTCGCTGCTGCGCATTAGTTGCCCCGTTGCTGCTTTTATTTCGTTGCGCTACTATTATTGTTGCTACTGTTGCTGTAGATAAGGGCAACAGCTACTTTGCCTTCTTATTTTTCGTTTTCCCTTAGAAACCCTTTTTTTACCTCCCCAAATCACACTTCATTCCTCCCCCGTTCCCCTCAACAACCCCATTTCCCCCCACTCCCCACTCCCACTCGCCCACTCCCCCCCCCCCCTCCCCCCCCCCGCCCACCCCTCCCCTCCCCACCACCCTCCAACAGAACAGTGACCTTAAAAACATTAATTACCCACCAGCCCCTTTAGAGAGAAGGGAAAAAAGAGAACAAAATAAGAAAAAGCAACGGGAAAAACGGAAAGGGACACGTCTTTCCTTTTGACCGCCGTTCACCTTTTTCTTGAAAATATTCATTCTGTCTCCTGTACACCTCCTTTAACTAACAAAGATGTGTTTATGAACAACTAAACATGGCCAGTATTCAGGTGAACGAGTGTAAACCCATAAAACCATGTATAACACGATAACCCATGATAACATTTAAACCAGTGTATAAACGCAAAACCGGTGTATAACACTGATGAACCATGTTTAAACTGATAAAACCGGTGAAAAAACTGATGAACGGTGTATAATACTGATGAACCGGTGGAAACCTGATAACCCGGGTGTATAATACTGAAAACCGTGTAAAACTATGAACCGGGTAAAAAACTATGAACCAGTGTATAACACGATGAACCATGTAAAAAACTGATGAACCATTTTATAACACTGTGAACCGGTGTAAATCTGAAAACCAGGTATAACACTGAAAAACCCGGGTGTAAACACTATAACTGGGTTTTAAATACGATGAACCGTGTATAACACTGATAAAACCGGTGTATAATACTGAAACCCGGGTGTATAATACGATGAACTGGTGTATAACACTGCGAACCGGGTTGTATAACATGATAACCGGTGTATAACACTGATGAACCGGTTTTAAACACGAGAACCATTAAACACTGAAAAACCGGGTTATAAACTGATGACGGTTTTAAAACCGATGAACAGTGTAAAATACCAAGACCAAGTATAAACTCTGAAAAAAAGGCATAACACTGAAGAACAAGTGCATAACACTGAAGAACAAGTGCATAACACTGAAGAACAAGTGCATAACACTGAAGAACAAGTGCATAACACTGAAGAACGAAGAGCCAAAACCTGACATGATAAGTCTCTACGCAGAGTCAGACATGCTGAGACAAATCTCTGTTACACGGAGCCATGATACAGACTCCAGCCAAGGCGTGACATGACTCCCAAAAGCTCTACCCAGAGCGACATACGACATGACAATTCTCGATAGTGGAAATGAAACGGTTCAAGACTCGGGTTGAGGGCGCACAGGCGCACAGACGTTGAAATTCGCACCAACGGGGGTTAAATCAATGTCATTACACGGTAAGGAACAACGGAAAGAGAGAGGGGTGTACAGGGCGAGTATCCCACAGTGTTATGGGTTCATTCTGGTGTGAGTGTTCCACTGCATCTCAGGGCTATGATCTCCTTCAGCAGTCTCCTGTAACTACCTACTTATCTTTCTACGTTCCTACCTACCTATATATATACATGTACCTACCTACCTACCTTCCTACCTACCTACCTACCTACCTACCAACCTACCTACTTACCTACCTACCTTCCTACCTACCTACCTACCTACCAACCAACCTACCTACTTACCTACCTACCTTCCTACCTACCTACCTACCTACCTACCTACCTACCTACTTTCCTACCTACCTACCTACCTACCAACCTACCTACTTACCTACCTACCTTCCTACCTACCTACCTACCTACCTACTTTCCTACCTACCTACCTACCTACCTACCAACCTACCTACTTACCTACCTACCTTCCTACCTACCTACCTACCTACCTACCTACCTACTTTCCTACCTACCTACCTACCTACCAACCAACCTACCTACCTACCTAGCTACCTACCTACCTACCTACCTTCCTACCTACCTACCTACCTATCTACTTACCTACCTACCTTCCTACCTACCTACCTATCTACCTACCTACCTACCTACCTACCTACCTACTTAGGAGGAGGAGGTAGAGGAGGTGGAGGAGGAAGGAGGAATCAACAACAACAACAACAACAACAACAACAATAATAATAACACTAATATTAATAACTGATAATAAAAAAATACTAATAGTAATAATAATAATAATAATAATAATAATAATAATAATAATAATAATAATAATAATAATAATAATAATTTTATTTTATTTATTTAATTTTTTAGTTGTACATGATAGACAGTTGTACACAGTAATATAGTGAGTGTACCAGTCAAAGCACCTTGTATATAGAACATTATGTGCACGAGTAAAAGTAACTTAAGATTAACTAAACAATGATATATTCAGTGGTAAAAATTACAGTAAACAAATTACAACATGAAGTACATATGAGTATTTTAAATAAGAGTCATTAAGTTGTACAAATTTGTAGCCTAACAATGTATAATGTAATCGTATCAGATCGAGTAAAATCAATGATTTGTAGTGCAGAAACAGGTCACTTGATCATTAGATGAGTTACTGTGTGTTCAAGATAATGGAGTATTATGTTAGGTAATGTAATTTAAAAAAACATAGTTTGATAGGGTCACAGGTTATACATTTATGAGATACAGTTATTCAGTGTTTATTTAGAAGTGGGTGAGTAAGTGGTTAAGAAGAGTCTTGAATTTATAAACAGTGTTTCTTTTTTATATTCACAGGTAATGAATTCCAGATTTTTGGGCCTTTTATGTGCATTGAGTTTTTACATAGTGTGAGATGGACATGAGGAACATCAAAGAGTTATCTGTGTCTTGTGTTATGGTCATGTGTTCTGTTGAGGTTGGTAAGGAGAAGTTTGAGGGGAGGGTTAATATCAGAGTTAAGTGTTCTATGTATGTAGTAGGTACAATAATAAGTATGGATGTTTTGTATGGTGAGAAAATTTAGAGTTTTGAATATTGGTGGAGTATGCTGCCTGTAGTGGGAATTTGTTATTCTGACTGCAGCCTTTTGTTGGGTAATTAATGGTCTGAGATGATTTATTGTTGTTGAGCCCCATGCACAAATTCCATAGGTGAAATAGGGGTAAATGAGTGAGTGATATAGGGCCAGGAGGGCTGACTGTGGAACATAGTACCGTATCTTCGATATGCCTACGGTCTTGGAGATTTTCTTGGAAATTTGTTGTACATGTGTTTGAAATTTGAGTCTATTACCAAGGTGGATTCCCAAGAATTTTCCCTCTGTTAGCTTCGTGATAGGTGATCCGTTTATCATTATGTTAAGAGGAACATCTGTAGTTCTGTTCCCAAACTGAATGAAGTAGGTTTTGTCAATATTGAGAGTAAGTTTGTTAATCATCATCCAGGTAGATATTTTCTGTATTTCGGCATATACAGTATTGGCTAGTATGACTGGGCTCGGGTGAGAGAAGACGTATGTAGTATCATCTGCAAATAGTGTGGGTTTAAGTAGTTGCGATGCATTTGATAGATCATTTATGTAAATGAGAAAGAGAAGAGGGCATAGGACACTTCCCTGTGGGACACCAATTGTAATTGGCTGTGTGGAAAAGTTTGCTCCATTTGTGTACACATATTGGGTTCTGTTGCTAAGGTATGACTAGGTAGTTGAGGGAGTGCCCTCTTATACCATAGTGTGATAATTTTATGTGCACCTAATCATAGTCAACTGTATCAAAAGCTTTAAGTAAATCAATGAAGATCCCCAATGGGACTTCCTTTTTCTCGAGTGCAGTGTATATTTGTGTTAGCATGTGTATAATAGCATCATTCGTATTTTCATTAGGCCTGAACCCAAACTGACAGCGGTTGAGTATGCTGTGGGAGATGAGGTAGGAATAGATTCGCTTATGAATTAGTTTTTCAAAGATTTTAGAGAGAGGGTGTAAGTTGGATATTGGTCTATAGTTATTCAAGTCTGCTTGATCTCCTCCTTTATGTATCGGGGTGACCCTCGCTATTTTGAGAACTGTAGGGAAGGTACAGGATTCGATGGATTTGTTAGAGTGTTGCAATGATTGGTGACAGTACTTGTGAAGCTTTTTTGTATATAAAGGGTGGTAAGGTATTAAATCTCCTGTCTCGTTCTTTAGTGTGTTGATAATAAGTGAGACTTCTGTTGGGTTGGTCACAGTTAGAAGCAGTGTGTTCGGGTAGGTGCCAGTGAGGTAGTCATTAGGTGGGGTATTTGAGCTTGGGATTTTACCCGCAAGGTTTTTTCCTATGGTGGAGAAGAAAACATTGAGTCTATTTACTGTTTCAGTTGGTGGGAGTTGGGGTTCATCTGGTTTTGTTAGTTTGGTTGTTCTGTTTCCTGATATCTTTTTTGTTCCTAGAATTTCAGATAGGATTTTCCAGGTCTTTTTTTTATATCACCTTTTAAGTTGGATAAGCTGTTCTCATAATACAATTTTTTTGCCCTTCTAATCAGGCTGGTTAGGACAGATGAGTAACGTTTTGTTTGGTCTCTGGTTAAGTGACCCATTCTGTTTTTCATACTGGTGCTTTATATTTATGGATTTGAGGATGCTGGGTGTTAGCCAGGGACTGTTCAGTCTCTTAGCTGTGATCTGTTTAGTTTTCTTAGGGCAGTGCTTGTTATAGAGGCATTGGGTCTTTTTTTTAGAAAATTATTAATACATTTGTCAGTGTCTGTATAGATTTTTAGCTCAGTTTGCCAGTCGATGTTTGTCAGTGCTGTTGTGAAGTTATCAATGGCTGCCTCATTATGAAGCCTGAAGGTTACTTTAGTAGTGTCTTGGGGTAATTTACCTAGATTAGTTATGAGAAAGGTAGGGTAGTGGTTTGTGGTATTATCTGTGATTATGCCTGATAATAATAATAATCAAAGCCAAGAGTTCAGGTAAATCAGGTCTCCCTGACCCACAGGATCATCACGACACACAGACAGGTCCTGCAGGAGCGACTGTGGTGTAGGAGCAGCGATCCCGTCTCTCCCTGTGATAGTGGTGGTGTTGGCTGTGTTAAGATGCTGCTTGGCGGAGGATGCTGTGCAAGGGGCTCTCCCCGGGATGCTGAGGTGGGTAGAATGAGAGGATGTGTATAGTGGAAGTAGGAGAGGAACGAGGAAGAAGAGGAGGAGGAGGAGATGTGGGTAGGGAAGAGGACATTTGAGGAGTCTTACTCGATTATGTCGCTATTCATTCTGTGTAGAAATAGTGCATATAGAAGTGGTTGAAGTTATTAATTTTAGTGGCTATAAAATGATTTATAGTATTGAGATCTGTATGAATTTAGTGCTTTGTTAATCTACTACTGCTGCTTCTACCAATAATAATAATAATAATAATAATAATAATAATAATAATTGGACAACAGTAAAAAAAACCCATTTAACATGTCCTTCCCCAGGTCCAGACTCGGGGATCTGTACAAACTACGTAAATCACTTGAAAAAACAGTCTCACCAGAGAATCCAACCACGCCATTGACGACAACCACGACCACTACGACACCAGCAGCACCTCCTCGCAGCTCCCAGCCGAAATGGGGGTGGTTGCCTGCATCTGAGAGCATTCTAAGCTCTGACGATGTGTATTTCGGTCTCTCAGACCTCATCAACAATGGCGAGGACCGCAGAGATTTCTTCAAGAGCCCGCAGGGTCAGACCAAAGCCAAAGGATCGCCAGAATTCAACGGTCACCTGCTTTCAGAGGTGGACATGGGGCAACAGAAACTCGACCCTCTGGAGCACAAGATTGGGGATCTCAAGGGTAACTTTCTCGAGGATAATGTCCACAACAACGTTGTCGAGGTTGACCAGGGGAAGTTCTTCGGGAAAAGCATCGACAACCAGACGCTTGAGACTGTCCAGGACGCTCCCGAAGAACACTGGGCGAGGCTGAAAAGCATCTTCGGCAACATGAAGTCGATCCTGGAGCAGATGTACCCGGCGGAGAGCAGCGGCGAAAAGATGGCGTTTTCCTTCATAGACAAGGCCATCTCGATGGGAGACAAGGTCCATCTTCTCAGTCGCGTGCGAGACACCTTCGACCATGAGTTCCTGGACTTTCTGGAACACAAGTGGAAAGACGTCAGAGAGGCTGTGGTCAACAGCCATCCTTTCCTGAAGGTGGCGATGTCGTCTAGCACACAAGAGATGGGCAAAAACTTCTTGACGATGGTGGTTCGTCAGGTGGGTCATTTGCTACACAACCAGGCCTTCAATCACCTCTCTGAGCTCGACTTTGTGACGGAGCTTATGAGGAGTTCAGGATTCAAGGACTTGGAGATTTATAAGGTCTTCGACCTGCTGGGTCTTCCTAACGATGCTGTGAGCGCTGCTGCCGAACTGGAATCCCGCCAGTTAGGATACGGCTACACGGTAGAAAAATCTGGAGGCTACGGGCACTCCGGAGGCGGTGGCGGCGGCTACGGAGGCGGTGGCGGCGGTTATGGAGGCGGCTATGGCGGTGGCTACATGCAGAGCTTCGACCCGTTCGTACTACTGGCGGGGCTGGCTTTTGCTACGTTCCTGGCATATCTCATCTACCGGTTACTGTCCAGCACCGCCGCCGCCGGCAGGAGGGAAGTGCCGGATATGTCACTAGCACTTGACCTCTCTGATCTACCAGACGTCGTTGGCAACATCTACTCCTGGTTGGAGAACACAGAACAACTCTACGGCACCAAGAACACTGTGAGTGAACACTTGCACACTGCATCCAGATGTCATACTGCTGATTATACTGAAGAGAAAACACAGGTTGCAGAACAACGTTCTGCAACCTGTGTAGACCTTTACCAAATAATGACTGATAAAGCCCTACACAGAGCGAAACGTGTCAACAAAAGCTTGTTCAGGATCCCGGGTCGTCTCTTAAGCCGGACACGGGGTGAACACCGCCAGGGAGGCCGAGTGAACACTGTGTTCCTTAGTCACATGTTTTGTTTTCTCATTTCATATGTCAGCGGGGGACATACACCTCTCAGACCTATTTCCCCAAGTGCTGTTTGACACCCTAAGAGTTTAACACTCCTCCCATGACAGTTTGTTAATTACACAATGGGGCGCTAAGGTAATTATGTGTCCCTGTCATATTCCATCACACAGGATGGGTCACATACAGTGTTGAAATGTGTCAGTCTGAGCTGGGAGACTTCAGTAATATCAGTCTGAACTGGGAGATTTCAGTAGTGTCAGTCGTCAGGTATTCCATTAAAGGTTCATCAACTACGGCAGTTTCAAAGGTATCCTTTCAGCAGAGATGGAGTTACTATCACACACACACACACACACACACACACACACACACACACACACACACACACACACACACAGAACTGGAGTTACTATCACATGGGACTTACCATCTCTCAGGATGGCCTATCTCATACACAGTTGAAAAAAAATTCTTATGAAGATATGTATCTGACTGAGCAGGTCAACCACATTTATATATGGGGAAAATAATAATACAGGAGAGGAAATTTGGACTATATTATATAAATCTAAGAATTGATGTAAAAAAATAATTAAGAGCCTTATTTTCTGAGAAAAGGAATTCACCCTCTTCTTTCATTTCATTCACAGGAACATGACTTAAGCCGCAACTTCAGCTGGTCAGCCAACCAGCTGTGGACCAACTTCCAGGTGGACCGTCTCTCCCATGAGTGTGTGAGGAGGTACATGTGTGATCATACCCAGGCTACCAGCACTGCCATGATGGACTCTAGCTCTGTGATGGAGCAGCTAGCTCTGTGAGTCTTGTAGGTGGGAGGGAAGGACGAATAGAGGGAGGAGGTAGAAGTGGGAAAGGGTTAGGTAGGGGAAAGGGAAGCGGGGAGTACTAAGGGAGAAGTATATATGGAAAGGGAAGGGATGGAGGTAACTGTGAGTGTGGTTGGGACAAGTGATGGGGGAAAGATGATGGAAAGAATGCAGGAAGATGGAGAGATAGATGCAGAGAGGGATGATAGAACGGATGAGACATAAAGAGGGAGAAAAAGACGAGGAGAGTAAAGGATAGGAAGAGAGAAAGGAAGGAGAGCAGATTATGTATTTAAAGTACTGTGGACGAATTGCTCTCTCTTTCTCTCTCTCTCTCTCACAGGGTTTTACAAGGTTAGGTTAGGATTCCTATCTTTATTTACAAACTAAGAGCTGTTACCGACATCTCTCTCTCCCTCTCAGTAAACACGTACAAAATAATTTTTCACCAAAAAAAACGTCATGGGAAGAAAAATTCCTGTTACTATTGAACTTTATTTTTGTTTATATATCAACTTGAACAACCTCAGAGCTCCAGAAACTCTCCTAAACAATCTCTTCCTAACAGCACAGTCTTCTCCACGTACATGAGTGGTATACAGTCTTCATATGCAGACGTTTCGACATAATGTAAAGACTGTGCAACTATATACAAAGGACGAGGTAATCAGTCCATCAGTCTTGGCGTTCGTTAAGAGCACCGGTGCCCTTAACAACGGTGCTCTCCTTCAATTTCAAGACTGAGGGACTGATTACCTCGTCTTTTGTATATGGTTTTACAGTCTTCAAATTTGTGTTGATAAAGTCACTGGATGGTGAAACGTCTACAAATACAGATACCCAGATGAAAATGTGTTTAATTCTTCCGCCTTCTCCGTGTTGAAAGCATCTCGTAAACACCAAACCTCATCTAACGATCCTCTCACTAACGATCCACTGGCCTTCAATCCAATTACACCTAAGCCCCAGATGCCACCTTACTAAGGTCTTACAAACCACCCATTAGCAGCGAAGGTCCTACTAACGACCCACTGGTCTCTTCCCTTTGCAGAACGGGTCTGGCGTTGCTGTTTGGAGAGGAGGATGCGGCTCCTCTTGTCGACAGAATCCAGAAGGAGGTCCTCGACGGACGCGACGTTCAGTGCCACGATCTTGCACCTCAGTGCGACGACGCGGCCTACCAAGGTCTTCCCGTCAGAGGCCTCCCGAAGCAGGCTCTGAAGAAGTAAGGCGTCCATATGTCTTCGCTCCTGAGGGGATGAGGGCGTCTGCAGGAAAGGCTTCTACAATTAATGGAGCCCTAAGGGGGTCAGTCGATTCTTTATGCAGCTCTTTGCTTATAGATAGCCATCCATTCCTGAAGGAAGAATCCGTCCCTGAATCTTCTGCTTCTGATGGTCCGTCCACTTCTGATGGGGCAGTCTACTCCTGAGAGGATCGTCCACAGGAAGGACGTCTACACTTAAGGCATTACAGCATCTACACTTCAGGCCTTACGGAAGTCTAGGCGCTGAAAACTAGGTTTTCGTCGTCTGCTAAGATAGGGTTCTATACGGCGTGGGCCAGTCAGTGGCCCTAAAATCCTCAGATAAGAAGTTGCACGTTAGAACGCTGAAGTGTCGTTATCTCTCACCTCACTACTTTATCACTGTTAATCTCTCTTCTCCTTCCATTTCCTTTCGGACTTCCGTCCATTCCTCCACCCTCATCCTTCTCTTTATTTCACCTCTTATCTTTGTCCTCCTCTTATTCTTCCCTTTCACCTGCCACCTCCTCTTCATTCCTTCAATTCTTCTCCTCCTCCACTCAACCCGAGTGCATCAGGTTGGGTAGAGGAGCAACCTTGCCACCCTTATTATCAAGTTGCCTTCTACCCGTCCACCTCAGAATTTCTTTTTCAATAAAAATATTTCTCCCGTGCTAACGGTCATTTATTCCATTAGACAACCAGATCCCCGAGTTACCTTTATCATGGGTGCCATCGCTGGCACTGTGTGCCAGGTTGTCTCTTAGGTTATATAGACGGCTGAGATGCAATATAGTTTCGTGTTTCGTATATGTG